GAATGTTGAAAGTGAATGACCATTCTCTTCTGGCATGGAAGGTTGCAGTTGAAAAGTCTGATGTCATCCTAATGGCTCTGCCTCTGTAGGTCAATTGGTGCTTACTACTGGCTACTTGCAGAATTTTTTTTTTCATCTTGACTTTGGACAGGTTCATTACAGTGTGTCTTGGAGAAGCTCTGTTTGAGTTCAGATGACCTGGTGTTCGATATCCCTCTGTAAAAAGTTTGCTAGGTCTTTAGTAAAACTTGGGAAGTTTTTATTTATGATTGTCTTTAGTAGGCCTTCCATTCCTTTGGGACAAACTTCTTCCCATTCAGAAATCCCTGTTATTCATATGTTTGAATGCTTCATGGGGTCTCTTAATTCCCTAAGTGCCTGTTCTGCTTTCTCTCTCTTTTTTTCTGCCTGTTTAACTACCTGGGTTAACTAGAAAACTATATCCTGTAGCTCTGAGGTTCTTTCTTCTCCATAGTCTAACCTATTTTTGATACTTTCAACTGTGTCTTTATATTCCGTGATGGTCTCCTTTATTTCCTTAAGCTTTGCTATATCCTTTCTATATTCTACTTATCCCTTGTCCAACTGTTGGTTCTGTATTTCCATTTCCTCATCCATTCTTTTTATTGCCTTTATCATTCATCTTTTAAATTCCCTTTCTGTAAAGTCCATTAATTCTTTATAGGTGACATCTTCTGCAGTAGCTGCCTCATTGTTCCTTGGTGGAGTTTCTCTGTTTTGGTTTCTCATGCTGCTTGAATTTTTCTGTTGGTTCCTCCTCGTGTATTCTTTCTTCTTGTTCACCTCCTTGGCTTCCTTTATCCTTCTCACTGACTCCTTTGTTTCAAACAGAAGTCCTTGCTCTTGATGACAGTATATTATAATGTGTCACCAGGAGACCTGGTGGTGCTGTGGTTTTTCTAGGAGACAGAGAGCACAGCCAGCAACCTCTATGTTCCTAATTCCAAACTTAGTTGCCTTTGGTGATTACCTGATTGTCCCCTCGGCATTCAGACCCTGATGGGGTGGGATCTTAAAATTCACAAGGATCCTTGAGGGGAAGGTCTCTCAGAGCCCCCTGGCTCCCGTTCCCATGGGGTGCAGGAATCCCTCAGCCTGTCCCAAGAGTGGAGTTCTGATCCCAGCAAGTGGAATTAAGAGGGCCATGATTTAGGCCCCTGCTAAGACCTTCTCACAACCTTCCCACAATGCTAGCCCCCTGGCCACCAAGACCTTTTCAATATGGCTGCCTTGCCTACAGCAAATCTACATCAAACCTATGGTGAATCCACTCCAACCAGCATTCAAATCTGGTTGCTGTATACTGTTTGAGTCTGCCCATTCTTCCAAGCTTTCCACTCAATGCACAGCTTTCCCCCCAAACTGAAAACTCTGGAAAGGCTTCCTCTCATCCTGGGCCTCTGTGGGCAGCCAGTCAATCCCAGCCAGTCACAATCACTTGCCTAATTCATCAGATTTCCATTGCTCTGGATCATATGCTGTATCCAGCTCACCATCTCCTCGCTGGACTCCCTGAACTACAACTCTGGGTAACGTCCCTGCACCAGGTATGGATTGGTTCTCTCTTTTTCCCCAGTTATTCTAGGAAAGCTCAGCTCAACAATCCTTCTGGTCACCATCTTGCACTGCTCTTATTCTTTTTTTTTTTTTTTAAACAGGACTGAATATTCTGCAGACTCCCAGATGATGTCAGGTTATGTGTTTTCTGTTAAGTCATTCTTGATAGTTTGTGTCTTCAAGGAATAGACCCATTTCATTTTAATTATATAATTTGGCGCATATAATAATTTTTTTCTTCCCTTTTTATTATTTTTAATGTCTGTGGGATATGTGGTAATGTCTTTTCTTCCCTTCTTGATAGTGATGATTTTTGTCTTCTTTATCTTTCTCCAGGTTAGCTAGGTTTATCAAATTTATCTTCTCAAATAATAAGCTTCAATCTCATTGATTATCACATTGTTTTACTATTTTCTACTTATTTGATTTCTGCTTTCATCTTTAGCATTTTATTCCTTATGCCTGCTTTGGGCTCAATTTGGTCTTATTTTCCCATTTAAAAATTTTAACCTGTTTCACGTTATTATTTTTAAAATGTACTTCTTATAGAAAGTATATTTGGGATTTGCATTTTTATCCAATCTGAATCTCTTTTCTGTTCCTTTTTCTCTTTCTTCTTCTTTGGGGACTCCGATTGCATGTATATGAGGTTACTTGAAGTTTCCTGCAGCTCACTAATGCTTTGTTTCTTTTTCTTCTCTGTGTTTTATTTCAGATAGTTTCTATTGCCATGTCTTTAAGTTCACTTGATTTTTTCCTGTAGTATCTATTCTGCTATTGATTTTCACCTCAGACATTATAGTTTTCCTCTCTAGATCCTCTTTATCTATTATGCTAAATCTTTTCTCTAATTTCTTGAACATAAGGGATATAATTATGACTCTCAGTGTCCTTGATTACTAATTCTGTGACCTGTGACATTTATGGGTGGGTTTAAATTGATTTTATCCTCAATGGGTGATACATTTTCCTACCTCTTTGCATGTCTAGTGATTTTTTTAAATGGATGCCTAGCATTGTAAATTTTGCCTTGTTGAGTGCCATATATTTGGTATTTCCATGAATATTCTTGAGCTATGTTCTAGGGTGTAGTTAAGTTACTTGGAAAGATTACTCTTTTGAGTCTTATGTATAAGTTTTGTTAGGCAGGACTCAAATAGTGGTTACTCAGGCTAATTTTACCCCCCACTACTGTGTCAATTGCTTTCTGAGTAATCTACCCAATGTCCTGAGAATTAAGAGGATTTTCTACTCTGACAGGTGAGAACAGGTACTATTTCTGGCTCTGTTTGGTCCATGGGCATTATCCCACCTAATTTCCTGGTTGCCCCAATCTCAGTCTCACATGTACTTGCTAATCACTGCTTGACTGAACCCTCCAGAATGCTTGGTGCTCTCTCAGTGCAGTGCTTCTCTGTACCCTACTCTGGGGACACCAGCTGCCTTGGCTTCCCCCAACTCCCAAATCTGCCTCTGAAACTTAGGATCCCCTGCAAACATAGTGGCCAGTGAGACAGGACAGATGTGAAACTCCATGTGTGTTCTCCTCACTTGGGTGTACCTATGTTATGCTGCCACATGTCCAATACCCAACAAACATTGTTCCAGGATTTGGTTAATTGTTCTGGTTGGTGAGAAGGACCAGTTCCTCTTACTTAACTTAACTAGAAGTGGACTCTCCACTCTGTACAACTGTGTTTCCATTCTCAGCTCTTTCTCCTCAGGGACTCTTCCTTGGAAGGAAGCCATAGGGGAAGGTCAGTGTCAAGAGTCCATGGTGGCCAGTGTTCCAGTCCATCAGGCCTTTCCTATAGGCCACTGGTGTCCAAGGCCCCTGGAGAGGAGAAGCAGGGCTCCCCAGCCCTCAGGCCACCACAGAGGCTCAGTGCCTCCAGATCCCTCCCACATAGACACCAGCTTCTGGCCATTGATTCCTACCCACTTGCATGTGGGGCCTTTGGGTGATGTCTTGTCATTAAGTTTTGTCCTAAATGGAGCAGGTAGGTTTTTCTTTTTCCATCTGGCTATTTTTATTTAGGATTTAAGAAGATTAAAAAAAACATGCCACCATATCTCTAGAATTTCTCCCCAATGTTCCTTTTTGATTCTAGTAAATGAAAACTCATAGCAAAATTGAAATAAAAGTTTATCTCCCTACAATGCAGGGCAAGCACCACATATAACAGTGAGTGTCAGGAGCACTTATGGCATTAAGCCTATTCTGCGTGGGTGTTCAGTGTAATGTAACAGGACAAAGAAATAGCAGAAAGAGTCACACAGATTAGAAATAGAAAGTTAAATTCCTATTATTTTTATATGATGAGTTCACTTACATACAAAATCCAAGAAAATCAACTGACAAACCATAAGAAGTAGAAAAGAATTTGCAAAGGTGTTAAATCTGTGTCTTTATGCCTAGATAATTTGTACATATAATTTATGTAGATGTAATATTTAGATACCAAAGTAATGTAATAGTTAACTTTTCCCATTCACATAAGACATCCCAATGAAATATGTACGAGTCAATTCTAACAGGAATGTGGGAGACGGATGGAAGAAAATGACCAACCCTAAACAGACACATGTGACTATGTAACTAGGGGGCAATATTTAAAATTATAATTTCCTCCTGACTATACAAAGTTCAATTCAATTCCAATAAAAATTCCAACAGATTTAAAAAATAACTCAGAAAACGTTCTAAAATTAATTGGAAAGAATATCTATAAGACACAACAAAAATTTTTAGAAAATAAGAAAGTGATGCCTTTCTTAAAAACTATTAAAATATATTCTAAAGATAAAGTGGAGAAAACATCTTAGAACTGGTGCAAGAATACATCAGGAGATTAATGTACAAAATCGAGGTCTCAGAAATTGATGAATACATTTTGGTAAAATAAAGGGATATTTCAGATGAGAGCTAGAAAATAGACTAACTGTTATAAAGGCAATTGCCTCCAGATGGGGGAGATAGATTAACATCTTGTACCTCACACAAGTCACAACACCTGGCTGAAAATATCTGGACCACCATGATGGACAGGTTTCCCAGCCCTAAGTCCACAGAAAAAACACAAATGGCATGGTAAGAAATGGACTGGAGTTGGAAACAGGCCACTGGGGAAGGAAACCGTGATGATGCAGGTGCATTCATGACACAGCAAGTTGCCAGCAGCCATCAGCGCCTGGGTTCAAGATGGAAGGAACAGACCTGGGAGCGTGTAGGGCTGAGCTGGCTGCCCCTCAGGTGCTGACCCATAGTGGCGGCACCCCTGCGGAGACCAGGCCTGGAATCTGCCCAACTTTCTGTTGCCATTTCTGCTCCCAGCTCCCAGTGGGCTTCTGCCCACACCCAGGAGCTAATGCCAGCATCTCAGCAATGCCTGGTCCCAGCAAGATGAGGCTTTGGGCTGTGGCTGACCTGGGAGGAGCTGGTGTCAAGCCTGAGAGTCATCCTGTGCCCTCCCCCAAATGCGGCAGGCCTGAGGCTCTGCTGTTTCTGAAAGGTGTCTGTGAGGGCAGCCTTTCTCACCAAAGACGTCACAGGAGGCTCAACCTTCCTATGAAGATTGAAGGGGTCTGGATGTCCCTGGGCCATGCAGATAAACACACAGGCTACCATGTGGTGCAGAGACTCCCTGTTGCCACCTGCACGCAGAGCCACCTGCCCCAGGGAGGACACGGGGCAGCACCCTGGTTTCCACCATGTGATCACACATTTGCTCCCAAGCAGGGCCTTTATCCCTGAGCATGAGAGGGACGCCTATCTCTTTTGCATCAGGTTCCGATAAAGGAGGAGAGTGTGGGTGGGACACCAGGGAGGAGGACCTAGTCCAGAGGCCATGGTGCCTGGACCTGCAGGCCAGCATCCCAGGGGCCACTCTGGAGGGTGGGGTTTCCCAGGAGGGACATGATGGGGATGGTCTGAGTCTGGAGACCCCATAGCCTCAGGAAGCCAGGCAGGGGCAGGGCAGGGACTGTGCCTTCTGGATGAGACCTGAGACCTGCTGGTTGACCACAGAGAAGAGAGGACACTGCCCTGTGATTTCTGGGTCAAGTCATTCATTTCTAGAATGTTCCTGGTAGGAGGACACAAATGTCTGCTTGAAACCCAACCCCACAAGTGTCACAGGAGAAGAAAATCAGGTGGTCACAGCAAGTTTATTGGGTAGTGGAGGAAATGCTGACCATTTCAAGTAGAGGCCAGGTGACCTGGAGCAGAGACATTGGAGGGAGGAGCAGGAGGTCAAGGCAGCACAGCTGGGGGAACCCTCCCGAGGTGAGGGCAACTGCCTAACCCAGGCCAGGCACAGTCATGGATGAGGGACCTGAGCCTGCTGGCCCCGGGATGTGCCCATCAGCAAGTGGACTTCTGACCCAAGGAGAGGCTGCAGCAGGCCGGACGGGGGCAGGCCGGGCGGCAGAGGAGGGACACGCAGGAGGCTGGGCGGGGACAGCTGGGCTGGCAGGAGGAGGTGGGGACACAGCAGGCAGGTCTGCACACTGGGCGGCAGAGCAGGGACATGCAGGAGGAGGGTCTGCAGCAGGAGGAGGGACAGGGGGAGGAGGTGCAGCAAGCTGGCTGGCAACTAGATTGCTGGCAGCACACAGAGGAAGCCCCAGAGCAGATGGGCACACAGCAGACAGGTTTGCAGCAGACGGGCTTGCAGCAGATGGGCTTGCAGCTCACAGGCACACAGCAGGCCTGCTGGCAGGGGGATGGGGTGAAGCAAGTCGGCTGGCAGCTAGACTGCTGGCAGCATGAAGAAGAATCCCCAGAGCAGACGGGCACACAGCACACAGGCTTGCAGCTCACGGGCACACAGCAGGCCTGCTGGCAGGGGGACGGGGTGCAGCAAGCTGGCTGGCAGCTAGACTGCTGGCAGCATGAAGAGGAATCCCCAGAGCAGATAGGCACACAGCAGACGGGCTTGCAGTTCACGGGCACACAGCAGGCCGACTGGCAGGGGGATGGGGTACAGCAAGCTGGCTGGCAGCTAGACTGCTGGCAGCATTTAGAGGAATCCCCAGAGCAGACAGGCACACAGCACACGGGCTTGCAGCTCACGGGCACACAGCAGGCCGGCTGGCAGGGGGAGGAGGTGCAGCAAGCTGGCTGGCAGCTAGACTGCAGGCAGCATGAGGGTGTGCAGGAGCTGGTGCAGACTGGTTGGCAGGGGCTGGACACACAGCTCACTGGGCTGCAGACCAGGGTCAGGCAGGGGGTTGGGGCACAGCAACTAGGGGCGCAGCAGGGGGGCTCACAGCAGCTCTCTGGACAGTCATCTACCTGCCAGGGCTCAGTGCAAGTGCTGGAGCAGACGGACATTGTGGACATGGCCATGTTGGGGTTGAGCTGGGGAGAGTGTGAGTGAGTGTGTGAGTGAGTGTGAGTGAGTGTGTGGGGTGCTTGGGGCTGTGGGCTTTTATACCCCTCCTACCCTGTTGTCCCAGCCTCAGGGCTGCCCCTTCCTTGTTGGTGAGTGCCGGGGCCAGGCTGTCATTAGGGATGTTTGTTTGCCTGTGATGTTGTCCAGCTCATAAACATCTTGCCTGGTCAGGGTATAGCCTGTCCAACATGGTCCCCTGCCAACAGTGGGGTGAATGTGCTCCCAGCTGGGTCCTGGGGACAGTGAGGGCCATGGGGGTCAGGAAGGGGGGACATCCCTTGAGCTGTCCTCAGTGTGTCTGGGCCTGTCCAGTCACTAGCACAGCAGCTCCAGGATATTGGCTCTTCCTGCTGGAGGCCAGCACATAAGATGGGTTTCTTGTGGAGCAAACAGAAGATTTCTGGGATATAGGACTGTCACCACTGCTCGATGGATGATCTAGATTAGGGGACGTTCAGTGACTTGCTGGTGGACACAGCTGTGAGGGGTGCAGTGATGGACCCAGACCCCTTGGCCCAGCTCTGGACAACATCTCGCCCCACAGCCGCTGTGCCTCCGGCCCTGTCTGTTGCCTGCCTTGTCCTTGTCTGGGACGTGGCAGGATTTATATCGTTACGCTATGTGCATTCAGGGCAAGGACTGAGGTGCAGTCCTACCCTGCTCGGGCCTGACAGCAGCCTGGGTCATGTTCCCTGCCCCTGTGTCCCTGTGCTGCTTCTGTCTTGAGCCCACGCCTTCTCCTGACCGGCCCTCCCAGCCCTGCTGTGCCCCCAGTTCTGCCATAGCAGCCCTTGCTGCATCAGTATGTTTGGTTACATTCTGGTCACCATATGGTGTAAATGAAGTCCAAGAGCCTCTTGCCCTATATAATGTCCCTTGTCCTTTTTCCAGGGACATCCTCACCCCCAAGCCAATTGTAATTTGATTGTGGTTTCACATTTCTATAAGATTATTATAAAATAAGGCACAGGTTGCAGGTGTCCAGTAGAGTATCCTGTGCTGCTCTGAGGCAGCAACGCTGTGCTAAAAATAGTGCTAAGATCTGGGTCAGACCTTCCCCCTCGGGTCTTCCTGGAGACAGAAGCTGACCACATATGGCCAGCTGCCACCGCTCCACCAGTTCCGCCAGGATGGGGGAAGAGCTGGGGAGGTGGGTGTCCCTTCAGTCACGTGCCATGTGTGGCACCAGGGAGAGCCCCCACCCCTGCCTGTGGGCCGTGTGCTCCCTGCGTGGGTCCTCCCTTGGGAGGTCTGGAGCAGTGGCCAGGTGACGAGAAGGTTACAGCAGTGGCCAGGGAGCCCCACTGTGCTGGCCTTGCCCTCTCCTAACCCTGTCCCGACACATGGGAGTCAGTGCCCAGAAGAGGGAGGAGAAGGGGCAGGAGAGGGCTCATCCACACCAAAGTGTCCCTGAACCCTCCCTGACCCCACCTGGGCTCAGTCACACAGCAGATCTGGGGCCTGGTCTGTTTGGGGCTGTGGGTCTGGGGTGACAAACAAGGTCTTTGAAGGCACCAGGAGGCAAAGACAGCTGAGACTTGAGCAGCTGGATCCCATCAGAGGGCACGTGGAGGAGTGAGTGTGCTGATTCTTGTGGGTTTTCTCAGTCAGGCATCTGCCCGGGCACAGGGCACAGCCAAGGGCTAGGAGGTAGGGCAGGGGCTTTGAGTCTCCTGGAACTGGACTGTGGGAACCAATGTTCAGCACCTGACTGGGCAGAGGGGGCTGCAAAGAACCTTAATGTTTAGTGTGACAACCTGAATATAATTCAAGGGCTATTCCATAGGATGAAGGGCAAACCAGAAATAAACCTGGAACCACCTTTAAATTGGATCATCTTCCTATGACCTAACTGCCTGCCAGAAACAGAAGTTGGTCTCTGGAACCTGGTAAGATCAGCAGAGACTCAAATAATCTTACATTTATCATATGCAAAGTCTGACATTCACTCAAAATTTTATCAGGCATAGCAGAAAATAAGACCAATTGACCAAAGGACCAAGAGGAAGAAAACAGTAGAGACAGCTCCCCAGGAGATCTAGACAGTAGAACTGGGGAACTTGAACTTAAAGTATCTGGGGTTCTGGGCTCAGTTGTCGCGGTTGGTGGGCAGTAACTGAGGCAAGATGCTGCGGACTCTGCTGGCTCTCCGTCAGATTTCGCAGAGGACCATACGCACTGCTTCACGCAGGCATTTTGAAAATAAAGTTCCAGAGAAGCAAAAGCTGTTTCAGGAGGATAATGGGATTCCAGTTCACCTAAAGGCTGGGCTGGCTGATGCCCTCCTGTAGAGAGCCACCATGGTTCTTACAGGTGGTGGAACAGCTTATGCCATAGATCAGCTGGCTGTGGCTTCATTTCCCAAGAAGCAGGATTGACTTCAGTCATCCCAGTGATCACTCGGTTCACTTTCATTTAGCTCTGTGTGGACCAGTAAACTGATGAGCAACTGAGCTCTTCTTCAGGGATCAATATTTATTGACTTGTACTAACTGCCACCAATAAAGCAGTCTTTAACCATGGGGAAAAAAAATAGAGTATCTGGGATTAATTTGTTCAAGAAAATGGAGGACAAGATAGAGAGTTTCAGTAGCAAACTGGATTTATAAAACAGAATCAGGCTCGGCGCCTGTGGCTCAAGCGGCTAAGGCTCCAGCCACATACACCTAAGGTGGCGGGTTCGAATCCCCAGCCCGAACCCGCCAAACAACAATGATAGCTGCAACCAAAAAATAGCCAGGCGTTGTGGCGGGCGCCTGTGGTCCCAGCTACTTGGGAGGCTGAGGCAGGAGACTCGCTTGAGCCCAGGAGTTGGAGGTTGCTGTGAGCTGTAATGCCATAGCACTGTACCCAGGGGGATAGCTTGAGGCTCTGTCTCAAAAAAATAAATAAATAAAATGAAACAGAATCAAACAAAAATTCTAGAGAGGAAGAACATAGTAACTGAAATTAAGAAGCTAACAGACTAACTTGAGAAGATATTCAACAAAACAAAGAGAAGACTGGGAAGGAACAGAGATGCAGAAGAATCAAAACCGAGCACACGGGCGGGACCGGGGAGAAAAGGGTGAAAGTGAATTTAGTGGAGGGACCCCGTGAACAGTCGGCTTGAATCCTAACAGAAGGGAGTGAACTCAGGGCAGGAAACAATCGAAGATAAGGTGGACAAGACATTTAAATTAATGGAAGACATTAACTCACAGATGCCAAAGGCATTTAAGAATCTTTAGCAAAGCAAATACAAAGAAAACCAGACTGGGCACACCGGGGCTGAAATCCAAAGAGAAAAATGTGAAGACAGAGTCAAAGGAGAAGGAAACGTGCTGCATCAGCAGGAGAGTTCTAGGAGGCGTGGAGGAGGCGGGGGACAAGGGACTCAGATCCTTAGCAGCTGAAAGAAAAGAAGCACCAGCTAGAATCCCACACCTGCAAAGATGACCCTTGAAAATAGGGACATGATAATGATACTCTCAGGCAGCGAGACGCCGAGCAGACGTGTCACAGCAAGACGCCGAGCAGACGTGTCACGGGTAGGGTCTGCACTAAAGACAGCAGCCAAAGGAGCTTTAAGCAGAAAAAAAGGGCCACACAGGGGAGAAGGAAGTTGGTGAGTGAATGAAGCGTAACAGAAGGGCACACGAGGGTAACCCCGAATACGTACTGGCTGTATAAAATATCTTGTAGGTTTTATAACATGTACAGATATAAAATATATGACAAGAAGATCACAGCATTCAGGAGGGTGCCACGTGGGGCAACATGGGTGGGTGCACTACATTGTCCATGGTCTAATTCACAGTGGATATTAAAACACAGAAGTTCATGGGGGATCTACACCAGAACAAGGGGCACACAGCTCAGTGGGAAGCAGGAGACCGTGGTGGCTGATAGTGTCCTCCACAGTTCACATCCCCCCCCAGAGCCTCACAGTGTAGGAAGTAGTGTTCTTGCAGACATAATTAGGAAAGATGAGGTCATACTTTAGAGTGGACCCCAAATACAATGACTAGGGTCTCACTCTGTCACCCAGGCTGGAGTGATGTGGCATCATCATAGCTCACTGTGACCTTGAACTTCTGGGCTCAAGTGACCCTCCTGCCTCAGCCTCCCGAGTAGCTGGGACTACAGGCATGTGTTACCAAGCCTGACTTAATTTTTAGTATTTTGTAGACACAGGATCTTGCCATGTGGGCAATGCTCATCTCAAACTCCTGAGCTCAAGGAATCCTCCTGTCCTAGCCTCCTAAAGCAGGGGATGAACCAACATATCCAGCTCATCAAGAGAAGGAAATTAAGACACAACACAGGAAAGTCAGCAGCCCCAGCGTTGGAATGAGGTAGCTCTGAGTCACAGGATGCCAAGATTTTCTGGGAGTTCCTGGATGCTAGAAGAGGCAAAGAAAGCTGCTTCCTGGTGCCCCTGCTGACCCTGCTGACCCTGCTGACCCTGCTGACCCTGCTGCCCCTGCTGACCCCCAAGGTCAGACTGCCAGCCTCCAGGACTGGGAGAGAGGAAAGGTCCACGCGTTCAGTCCCTCTTTGTGTGGTGATTTTCTGTAACAGCTGTAAAAATACAATGAGGGAAAATGAAGGCATGAAGACCTCAGCACCCAGTCAACACATGCTGACGGGAGAGAGGAAAGGACATCAAGGGGAGGTGGTCGGTTCACACGCGGATGTCCCACAGGGGCCCGCATTCTCCCAGTCCTGCACACGGGATTCCCTGTTAGGCCAGTCAGCCTCCCAGTCCTGCACACGGGATTCCCTGTTAGGCCAGTCAGCCTCCCAGTCCTGCACACGGGATTCCCTGTTAGGTCAGTCAGCCTCCCAGTCCTGCACACGGGATTCCCTGTTAGGCCAGTCAGCCAGGTGTGTACAGGGAGCTCAGGGGTCTAACTCCGAGTCCCCTGATGACTCCTGATGTTGACAGTATTTCCACATATTTATGTGGCCT